GGTGCCGCGTCTGGGATAGCTCTTTTTTTAAAGCAGATTTTCCAAGCTTGCCGGGAGTTTCTTCCCCTCGCAGTAGACAAGGCGTTTCAGTGTCGGAACGTCCCCTGCCGGGGCGCCGACCCCGCGGCTCTTCCCCGCTCCCCCAGCACCGGAGCAGGGAGTTCTGTTGGCGGGTTTTGTGCGTGTGGTTGTGGTGGTGAGCGAGAACACCGATGGGCCGCGGGAATTTACAGACCTGCCATAAAGATAAGCCGACACAAGCATAAGCACTAACGGATAAAGCAGGAGCGTTACTGTGATAAGAGACAGACGGGTACAGAAAATGCAGAGCAGGAGGAGCATGCTTAAAGACCCTGATGAGCTTGGAGCAGCTTTCTGTCATCATCATCCCCTTTGCTTCCCGTTGCATTCACTGAGTGCTCTAAATGTGAAGCAGATGCTAACGATTTTCATGTATGGACTCCGGCCTAAGTGTGCAGGAGCATTTGGGCATTGTTCTGTTGAATAGCATCAAGTATATCAAGTGTTCACTAGCTAAGAAAGGCAGCACACAAACCTTAAGACAATTCCAACAAGTATGGAAAGGCCTTTTGCAGGAAAGTCAGGAAGATGGAAGAAAGCGAAACAGAATTGTAAAAGATACAACAGGCAGCGGCAGCCAAAAGTGTGACTTGATAGATTAGACCATTTTTACCAAATTGTGTGTTCAGCTGCATTTTCCTTTGCTGTGTAACATTCAGTTGGCTCTGAAGCTTGACACATGCAGTAGGAGAATATGACCAAACATGTATCCAACACTATTTTGGTGGTATTTTATTAGCTTACTTTTGAAATACATATAGTTTCAAAATACATATGAAATAGAAATTTATTAACTGATTGAGAGGAAAAAAACCCAAAACCCTCTCCCCTCTGGCTAGTCTTGGAGCTCTCTGGTATCTCATACTGAAATGAAGCCTAAAAATGAAAGGAAACTGTTTTACTGAACTAAAAATAGCTTCAGTAGAGTGTGTGCCAATTTAAACCCAGTCTTACGAAAGTGTTGGAAACAGCTACATTGAGACATGAAGACCAAGC